AAGGAGCCAGCCCCGGGAGACTGCCGTAGGCCGGCACACGTCCCCCAGCCGGGGCGGGGGGCTGCGGGCACAGCAGAGCAGGGGGCACCCACCGCCCAGGGGGGGCCCCCCCTCACCTTCTCCTGCAGGGCAGCACGCAGCTCGCTCTCCAGCTGCCCCTGCTTTTCCTGCGACTGCGCCAGGGCCGCGTTGTGCTCCTCCGAGAGCTCGTTCAGGGCTTCCTGCAGCTGGACCAAGTGGCTGGCGATCTCCCGCAGCTGCGAAGGGAAAAATCCCCCGTCCCAGAGGAGGGTCAGAGAGTGCCCACGCTGCCCAGGGCTCTGCTCAGCTCCCCTCTCCCGAGCACTGAGCACCGCAGCATCCACGGACATCCCAGGTCCTGGGCGCTCACGCCCTGCATCCGCAGCGCCGCATATGCGGGCAACTCCACCCAGCCCCTATTTCCCCCACCACGGTTCCCCTTCGGATCAGGATCTGGAGCCCAAAGCAGGCTCAGTCACTGGGTCAAGGTCACACGAGGCCAGTGGCGGAGCTGTGAGCAGCCCAGCGGTCCGGCACTGCCGTCAAATCCTCCCCACTGGGTCCCACCGCAGACGACTGGGCTGTGGGGACACGGAGAGGACACAGCGCCCCGTACCTTGAAGGAAAGATCCCCGTTCTCCTCGGAGAGCTGGTTGATTTTTCGGTCCATCTGGCCTTTTTCAGTCTTCAGGTCCTGGCATTGCCTGAGGGCCTCGTGCAAGCGCACCATCAGGCTGCGGGAGAGGAGGTCGTTAAAGGGGGTGCAAGCCCAAGGCAGGCGAGGACATCGCTGGGGACCGATGCTGCTGGACACTGCTGAGGAAACTAAGGTACCGAGGTACCTCTGTGCCGCGGTGAGAAACTACCGTAAATTCAGCTCTAAACTGGGTCCCAATACGTCGCAAAGCGGAGCAGGGATAAGCGATGTTTGTGCTTTGCATGAGCCCGACCGCTCTGAACTGAGGGCAGAGGCAGCTGCAGGACTCCAGCCACCCCTCTGCAAAGTGAAATAAGTGAGGAAAGGACAAAAAAGGCGCGGCACGTGCCGGCGGAGGCCGGGCGTCCTTCCCAAGTAAACACGTTGCCGCACAGGGACAGGGCAAAGACCGGGACGCAGCGCGGCAGGCAACAGAATTCAAGTGCGCGACGCAGCCTGGTTCAGATCCGATCAAATTGGATCGAACTGGAGGGCTAGCAGCTGGGGAAGGGGCTGGGGTCAGGAGCTCCAATAAAGCTGAAAGCTTTCAGCGACACGGAGCCTATCCCAGAGCTGGGAAGGCCAGGCAGGCTCTTCCAGAGGCAGGCGAGACCCACGCAGGCAGCGCACCCTTTTCCCCACAACAGGGACGACTCTTCCCGTGCCGGGCTGAGGGTAAGGAGCAGGCTGTCAGAACACACTGCGCGGTTCGGGACTGGCTCCCTGCCCGCTGCGATGGGGGGG